CAATGTTCATGAGTGAGATTGGTCTGTAATTCTCTTTCTTAGTAATGTCTTTCTGTGATTTGGGTGTCAGAGTAATTGTAGCCTCATAAAAAGAATTTGACAGTGTTCCTTCAGTTTCTATTGTGTGGAAAGAATTTGAGGAGCATTGGTATTAGTTCTTCTTTGAAAATATTGTAGAATTATGAACTGAAACCACCTGGTCCTGGGCCTTTTTTGGTTGGGAGACTTTTGATGACTGTTTCTATTTCTTTAGCAGTTATAGGTCGAATTATAAACCTATAATTTAGGTTTGCTTATCTGGTTTTGATTTCATTTTGATAAGTGGTATTTATCCAGAAAGTTATGCAATTCCTTTAAGTTTTTCAATTTTGTGGAGTACAGGATTTTTGAAATATAGCCTGATGATTATCTGGATTTCCTCTGTGTCTGTTGTTATGTCCCTGTTTTAATTTCTGATTTTGTTAATTTGGATATTCTCTCTCTGCCTTTTGTTTAGTTTGGATAAAGATTTGTTTATTTTGTTGATTTTCTCAAAGAACCAACTCTTTGTCTCATTGATTCTTTGTATTGTTTTCTTTGTTTCTATTTTGTTGATTCAGCTCTCAATTTGATTATTCCCAGTGGTCTAGTTCTCTTGGGTGAGTTTGCTTCTTTTTGTTCTAAAGTTTTCAAATGTTATGTTAATTCACTACTGTGAGATTTCTTTCAGCTTCTTTATGTAGGTATTTAGTGCTATGAACTTTCCTCTTAACACTGCTTTCACTGTATCCCATAAATTTGGGTTTGTTGTGTGGTCATTTTCATTGAGTTTTAGGAAGTCTTTAATTTCTCCCTTTATTTTTTCCTTGATCCATTGATGATTCAGGTGAGTATTGTTTAATTTCCATGTATTTATGGGCTTTCTGGGATTAGTGTTGCTGTTGAATTCTAGTTTTAAGCCATGGTGATCTGATAAAATGCATGGGGTTATTCCAATTTTTTTGCATCTGCTGAGGTTCGTTTTGTTACTGAGTATGTGGTCAGTTTTTGAGAAGGTTCCATGAGGTGCTGAGAAGAAGGTATATTCTTTTATGTTTGGATGGATGCCTGTTAAGTCCATTTGAGTCATAACATCTGCTAATTCCCTTATTTCTCTGTTAATTTTTTGTCTGACTGACCTGTCCAGTGGCAAGAGTGGAGTGTTGAAGTCTCCCACTATTAGTGTGTAGGGTTTAATATATTATTTAAGCTTTAGAAGTGTTTCTTTTACATATGAGGGTGCCCTTGTATTTGGGGCATAGATGTTCAGTATTGAGATTTCCTCTTGATGGATTTTTCCTGTGACTAATATGAAATGTCCTTCTTTGTCTCTTTTGATTGATTTTAGTTTGAAGTCTATTTGTTAGATATTAGGATAGCTACATCAGTTTGATTGGAAATTTTTCCCAACCCTTTACTCTGAGGAGATGTCTGTCTTTGAGGTTGAGGTATGTTTCTTGTATGCAGCAGAAGGATGGATTCTATTTTCACATCCAATCTGTTAGCCTCTGTCTTTTTATAGGTGAGCTGAGTCCATTTATATTAGGGATATTAATGACCATTGATTGCTATCTCCTGTTAATTTAGTTTTCATTGTTGGTGATGTTAATTTGTGTGTTTTTCCCTTCTTTGGGATTTGCTGGGGTTCCTGTTTCCCTTCTGCATAGGTGATGATCTCATGTGGGCAGCATCTGAGAGGCAGAAACTAGAACGAAAATATCACACATTATTCCAGAAAATGGTTCCCTTCTGCAGTTTCCAGAGCTACCCACCCATCTATGTAGGAAGCTGTTTTTCAAGACTCTGTCAACTGAGATGACAAAGTCGAAATTCCCACTTTGAATAAGCCAAGGGGGAGAAAGTCCACTTCGAAGTGTTAGCAGGGGTCAAGGACAGCCTCTCATGGATGAGCAATGGCAAGGCCTTGCCAGCCAGAGCTTGAGACTTGCCACCCCACTGATATGCAAAGGACCCTCACCTGTGCATGCTAGGCCTGCCTCCCACAGTCGGCTCTTAGTATTCAGTCCCCAGGTGTGTGATTCTCATCTGTTTGGGATTTTTGTTGGCTTTAGTTTTATGAAGCAGGCTCTTGCCCAGGCTGCCCCCAAACTTACCTGCCAGCCTTAGCCTCCAGGGTGCTGACCATGAGCCACCGTACCCAGCACCCAGATGGTGGCAGCTGAGGCACAATATTACATAAAGGTAAACCATTATAATACGTTCACAATCACTGTTAATCCTAGTAAGATTAAAGGGGGTTTTATCACTGTTTTAAAAATACAATCGGCATTCTGGACCTGGGTTCCAATTCATGGATTCAACCAACCACAGACAGAAATATTAAAAAAATAAAATTTCAGAAAGTTCAAAAACAAAATTGAACGTTAGCATGAGGGAAGGGCTGTGATGAAATCAGGAGAGAGAACTCATCAGCGAACATATTCTGCCATGGCCCCTTGATACTCCAGCATGAGTGGTTACCTATGTGGCTGCCTCTGTGCTGAACACATAGAGCCTTTTCTAAATGATGCCTCGGATTTACGCTGTGTTAGGCATGGTAGTCATTTGACGATGATTAAAATGTAGAGAAAGATATGAGTAAGTTATAGGCAGATGCATTTATGTGATGTCGGGCATGTAAATCATGGGACACAATTAGAGAACACAGAAGGAAATGTGTATGAGCATCCTTGGGTTTGGGGATCCTGGGGTCCTGGGACCAATTCCCTGCTAATACCAAGGGAGGGTTAGATGTGGTAACAAGATAGGACACCCGGCTCTTATTCAGCAGCCTTGATCTTGGAGTTAAAAGGTAAACTTTTGCATCCAGCCTGAGCAGGGTCAGGGCCTAGTATTGCTATTTACTCTCTGTGAACACAGTCTTCTGCAGTACGGTTCCTAGACCTCCGTTAATAGCTCAATTAAATGCCCGTGGAGACTTGGCTGTGTTTGCCGAAAGCAATGTTAACTATTGTTTATTAGGTGTTTATTTTGTGTATTAAGTTTAAGTGTTTTGCCGTGGCTACTTTTCTTCAGGTGCTCACCCAACTTTGGAAAAAAGTTAGAATTTTTATCTGAAACACAGGATTGCAGCATCCTGAATGCTAAACTGTATTCTTGGTTCTAGCCTAGGCCACCAGCAGGGTTCTGGCTGTGTTCTGAGGCTAACACTTATTTGGGGCTCCAGACACTGACTAGGAGCAGCAGGTACCAAGGTCCAGAGGACACTGGTTCTTCTTAGGCTTCTCAGATTTGGAAACAACTTGGGTTGGATGGAGTGGATGGTGAGGTTGGAAGGTATGGGCAGTGATGCCAATGAGTAGGGAAATCTAATGTAAGAGACACCGGGAGCATTTGGTAGACATACAAGTAAGGGATGAGAGATCCCAAAGAGACACAGAAAGGAAGCGGTGTGAAGAATGTGGGCATTGAAACTGGGTATGTAAAGCACCTTATTTAAAAGTAAAAGAATTAGCCGGGCATTGGTGGCACACGCCTTTAATCCCAGCACTCGGGAGGCAGAGGCAGGCGGATCTCTGTGAGTTCGAGGCCAAACTGGTCTACAAGAGCTAGTTCCAGGACAGGCTCCAAAGCTACAGAGAAACCCTGTCTCGAAAAACCAAAAGTCCTATGTTTTCTCTGATGTCCCATTTTCAAGTTTTCTTTACTTGTGGGAGAGGACACATGGTACTTGTGGAGGTCAGAGGGCAATTGTAGGAACAATTTCTCTCCTTCTACCACATGGGTCTGGGGGTCAAACTCAGGTTTTTAGACTGGGCAGTCCCTTCTGGCTGAGCCTTTCCACAGGTCCCTGGTGCCCGCTTATGAAGAAATAGATAATGAAACAAGTTCTAGAAAGAATCATTGTAAACGGGAGGTATTTACTTTATCGCCCAGGGATGGGGTCTGAATCTGTTTGGTATTTGAGTATTTCTACATATGAGCTGCACCAGCAAATCTAATGGTCCATCAGACTCGCAATCAGGGCAAAGTGATTGATAATGTCTTCCCACACCACTCCATGAATTTGTATGGCACGGTGGAAAACTGGGTAATAGAACTTGAAAGGAAAAGATACCAAATTCCCCCAGAAATTTAAGCTAAGCAGACCCAGCTGCTGAACATCCTGGGTGTTTTCCCATGCTTTCATGTTTGACAAAACAGCAATTTGGAAAAGTGGGGAATGTGGCTTTTGAAAAAAGCTTGAGAGAAAATGACTATTGTGAGAACACGTTGGTCCGAACTCCCTGCTGCACCTCTAGGCGAGTATCGTACAATCTTCTCCCCGTAGAACTAAGTGAGGGGCTGGACAGACGGTTCAGCAGTTAAGAGCCATGTTGTTCTTGCAGAATTCAGTCCCTAGAAATCATGTTGGGTGACTCACAATCGTATGGAAGGACAGCTCCAGAGAATTTGATACTCTCTTCTGACCTCTCTGGGCAAGTTCAGTCACACATTCTTAGCCCCACCCTGGTATGCATGCACACACAGAAACAAAAGTAAAGAAATATTTAAAAAAAAAAAAAAAACTTAAATGGCACCTTTGTTTTTTTCTATGTATGTAAAGTTGCCAAGAAGCTAGCAAGGTTTTTATGAGGCTCTGGAGGGGTCTGGCTGAAATCTAGACACTGAGCTTGCTATTCTTCTGAGTTATGCGGGCTTCCATTTCTGTTTGGTTGCTGTTTGGTTGCTGTTTTGTTTTCTCTTTAATGGATGATGATCTTAACCTTACGGCCTAGCCATAAAAACACAGGCCTCAAAGCAATTTGCTAAATTACCTGCCCAGTAACTTTTGATGGAAGTCACATGTGTAGATGCAAAAAGCCCATAACATTTGCATAAAGCAATGTCATCTATTCGAAGCTGTTCAGCTATAAGTGTCACCGGCCACAGTATGGACTTGAGGTGTCTCCTGGCAGCCATCCCCTTCCACCCTTCCCCGGAGCTCACGGACCATGTTTCTCTTTTCTCTGTCTTTGTAGCCAGAGCTACCTGCAAGCTGCCAGCGAGGTGCCTGTTGGTCACAGCCTGGACCCATCAGTCAACTACAACTCCCCAAAGTTCCGGTCCAGAAACCAGAGCTACATGCGGGCAGTGAGCACCCTGAGCCAGGCCAGCTGTGTGAGCCAGGTGGGGCCTCTTCTGGGCTTTTCTATGGAGGGTGCAGTCTCCGGAACTGTGCTAGAGGAAGAGGCTCCCATGGTGGGACACTTCCAAGGCATCCATGGGCAGCGCCCTCCTGCAGGGAGCTCACAACCATTTCTCTTGATTTAATGTGGGCTTTCTTCCTCTTCCAACAAAACAGCCTCGTTGGCTTATGCTGCATCCTCCTAACAGAGCCACCAAGGTCACAGGTTGCCGAGTAACACCACAGAGGGTACCTGCCTGGCACAGGCAAAGTCTTGGTTTTCTCATCAGCACTACAGACAGAAGGACTGGGTACCATTTGCTCCTGGGACAGATCTTATTTCTCATAGACACCTACTCTCAATGCAGGATCCAGGGTCACCACAGAGTGAGAGGGGTTGGACCCAGTAGAGGAAGAAGCACTAGGTTTCTCACTTGGGCAGATAGATGAAAGAGTCTGCACTAACATCTAGCAGGGGCTGCTGGGGTCGTGAGTCCTGTGATACGCTTTAGCCTACCTTAGCAACAATTTCCTATTAAAAACTAGGTCAGGTTGCCATGGGCCAGGATCTTTTAGGAACTAACATGGGAAGAACTGCCCCTACTATACAAGTCATGACTATGGGGGGGTTAGCTCTCAAAATCCCATGTTCTACATATCTTTTAGTCCCAGGCCCCCTGAAAGGGGGCCCTTCCGTCCATAACTACCACTCCTGCGATATTATTAGAACACACTCAGATCCTCAGAATTAGGCTACAGTGGTGGCCTGGTTCACCAGCAAATCTCCATTTCCACAAGAAGAATCAAAGATGATTTGGAAGGTGCTCACAGGTCAGGTGAAGGCAGTGTACACTGTAACAACTCTCCTCCCAGGATAAGCATTGCTGAGGTAGACGTCCATCTTTTAAAGGCAACAATTTCCCCTTTTCCCTTTCAGTTAATTCATTTTCCAAATACAATCTTTTTGGCATTTGCCTGTGTGTGTGTGTGTGTGTGTGTGTGTGTGTGTATGTGTATGTGTGTATATATGTGTGTGTGTGTGTGTATGTATGTATGTGTATGTGCATATGTATGTATATATATATGTGTACGCATGTATATGTATATGTGGGAGGGTGTTGTATCCTGGAATTACAGACAGTTGTGAGCTGCCATGTGGGTGCTAGAAATTGAACCCAGATCCTCTGGAAGAGCAATCAGGGCTCTTAACCACTGATCCATCTTTCCAACCCCTCCAAATATAATTTTTAAAGCTGTTATGAAGCATGGCATGGTGGCATATGCCTGTAGCTCCAGAACTCACGGACTGAGGCAAAAGGATCATGAAATCAACCATAAATCTTTAGTCTATCTTCTTTAAAATTTTTATAATAATAAAAAAAATCCTCTTTCAGTCTCACTCACACTTCATTTCTCCATGAAATTTATTTTTCAGTTTTGTGAGGTAAAAAACCTAGAACCACTGACTCCTGGGTTATGCCCACCTGAGATGAGAAAAGTCTCCTCTACACTCAAGGGTACCCCTCTTCCATTCAGCCAAAGTCCAATTTGGAGAATAAATAGTTAATCTGAGTTACTTACTGGAACACAAAGAGTTGAAAAACAACTCCAGCCCTAAAAGGTTTGCCCTGACATGGGAAATGACCCAGGAGCACTGCCTCCCTGGAGATCCCTACACAATGCGCAGTCAGCTTGATAGGCTGAACAGTCTCTCCTCCCCAAAGGCCTCACCACTTCTGTAACCTTGCTGAGTGGTCTTATAAATCTTTTCGGTTTCAGGAACTTCCTGAGACTTGTTAGTTGTTTATGGCTTGAGTCTTAAGAGCTTACCCATGCCCTCCAGGAGGGAATGTTGCTACATAATAGAGTCATATAACTTGAAATATTTTCATGTTCCAGTGCAAACAATCAGACCATCACATCATTCAGCCCCAGAATGCTCTCATTGTCCCATACTGATGCCCTAGCTCCTTTCCGTAGTGCATGGTCACCCCTTATCTCCATTTTGTATTGCTTTAGATACCTGGTGTCAGTGTAGCTACTCAGCAGGGAACCTTCTGGAACTAGCTTATTTCGCTAAGCACATTGTCTTCCAGATTTATCCATGTTGCAGCCATGTGTTCTGAGCATTGACATGCTGTGACCTTAAGATTTCACGATGTCATGTTGTATCTTGTCTCCTCTGAGATGTCTGTCTCTAACTGATAGCACATGCCTTCATGATCAGCCATGCTCTGGTCCGTTCCATCTTTCTTAGAGCTGGTTTCGTGAATCACCCCACCCTGCCCCTGATCTTTTGACAGACAGACTTTTAAAGTAATATCTTCCTTTAATCTGTCTGCCAGCATGATCCCAGTACTGAGAAGCTGTTGGCAGACCAGCCGCCCTGGACTAGAAAGAACAAGAAAGGAAAAGATCTTAGATCTCAGCTGTTTGTGTGTTTGTGGAGGGGGTGATAGTGGGAGAGGGAGAAAGGGAAGGGTGGAGAAGTCAGGATGAAATCTGGTTTGGACGTGACATCAGATAGAGAGGAGCCAGAGTTTCCTGGCCTTGGGGGCAAAGATGTCCCATTGGTGTGGGGAAAGCATGGGGACCAAGTGGCCTTAGAGCTGGTGAAGTGACTCCAGGCGGGGTCTACAGTTTTCTAGTGAGGGGTTTGAGTAGAGATGGTCACGACAGAGAGGGGAGACATGTTCAAACTGTGAACTAAAGAGAGAAGAGGAGCTTGAAGAAGAATATTTTCATGACCTTAGCTTGTGGCCCAGTTAAAGAACAGACTAAGAACTCTGCGTGGTGGTGAAGGGGGAGGCATGTCTGGATCATGGAAAACCCCACCTAAGAATGTGCTCCAATGTTGATCACTGTAGCCATAGATAGCTGTGTGCAGTGACTTGATTCTATGTGCTCCAGTGTTGATCACTGTAGCCATAGACAGCTGTGTGCAGTGACTTGATTCTATGTGCTCCAGTGTTGATCATTGTAGCCATAGACAGCTGTGTGCAGTGACTTGATTCTATATGCTCCAATGTTGATCACTGTAGCCATAGACAGTTGTGTGCAGTGACTTGATTCTATGTGCTGCAATGTTGATCACTGTAGCCATAGACAGTGGTGTGCAGTGACTTGATTCTCAGTACTTCACTGAGACAGACTCTGTCATGGGCAGCTAGGATGGAGAAGGAGAGAGCCAGCGTGGAGAATGTCAGCCTAAGACTCAGGACAGACAAATGTGTCTGCCCGTGTCCATCAGGCACCGAGGATAAGCACCAGATCGCAGAATGTCGGTCCTCACTAAGCCCGTGGTATGAGAGACAGACCAATGAGAAGTACTGGAGAAGGAAGGAAACAGAGAGCAAGATGTTCTGTGTCCCCAACTCGCACTGGCTGCTTCCCCCAGGATCCTCCCTCATGCCACTGACCAATGTTTTATCTGTACATGTGTGTCAATGTAGAAAGACACGCCTGAGAGAAACCCATAGAGCGTGAGAACTTGAAGAGAGGGCGTGTCTTAGTTTCTTTTCCTGTTGCTGTGTTGAAACTCACTGACAGAGCAGCTTCAAGGGGAAAGTTTATTCTGGTTCACAGCTCCAAGGGGCAGCTCATCAATGTAGAGGAGTTGAGGCACCAGGGGCTTTGAGCAACTGGTCACATGGTGTCCGCAAGCAGGAAAGGAGAGCCATGGATTCTTGCTGCTGCTCAGCCCCTTTCTCCATTTATGCAGTCCAGGATCCAAACTGGGGTGGGTGGGTGGTGCCCTCCATCGTGGGTGGGTCTTTCCCCCTCAACACAGTCAAGATAGTCCCCCACGAGCATGCTCAGAAGCCCATCTTCCAGGGGATTCCAGACTCTGCCTGCCATCTCAGAAATCATTTGCCAAGATGGAGTCAGTGAGTGGGGAGAACTCCCCGGGATGAGCATGGGCTGATCTCTCAGCCTCTTGTCCCCAACACCGGACGTAGACCTGAGTTCGCCAACCCCCTTTAAACTGCTTCTGCTTAAAACTCTCCGTGTTCACGCTTCTCCCACCTAACCCTTCAACCTCATTTCAGTTTCTGTCGCCCCCTTTACTGAATTTCCAGTTAAAAATCTCCAGCCTCAGCCTGCGGACACCATATGCTATGTGCATGTGAGCATCACCATTAGGACACATAGGAAAAACATGTTCTCTTGGGCCCCCTGTGACTGAGCGGATGGCCCAGCCCATGTCAGCTTAGCCTGTGATCCCACCAGGGCTGACAGGCTCCACCCAGTGCTCCCCAACACAGGGAAAGTTAAGTTCCCACGGTGAACTGATGGGCACAGTTTAAGACACAAGATGAAGAACTTACTACGTTTATCTGCTATGCTTGCAAGTCTCGAGCTAATAGTGGGGAAAATACGCCTGAGATTTGAGTCAATGTACCACGTTTCATGTGTATAGAACGCCTCCCAGGCGGCCATGTCTTCCCCACCCTGATTCTGCTCATGATGCTGTAATGGTGATGAGGGCAGGAGTGCCTCTGCCAAATTTGGGATTCGTTTCCATGACAATGAGCAGCAGCTGACTCTCACGTCCTGAAAATGAACTAAAAGTAGCTGATGCACTTGAATGTGTGTGCTTACTTCTTCAGCCTCCAACCCAGAGTCAGCCCGAGCGGTAGGTAGCTGGGGAAGATGAAGGGGTCACTGGGGAAGGAGAAAGGCCTGACAGTGTGGACCTTGGCTGTGTACCAGGTGTTTCGGGAGGCTTTCGCTCACCCTGGCTCCTAGTCCTTGTGATGGCTCTCAGCCTGGTGAGTTCCCAAAACGTCCATCATCTGTAGCTAGTTATATACCTTCCTGCTTTTGTAAGAGATAACCTAAGAAGCCAGCCCCCAACCTTATCGGAGTCCCAGTGCGGATTTCAAACGAGCTGCGCCGAAAATATAATGCTGTCACCGAGTCCTGTGAGTGCATTCTGTAACTGGTTCTCGTGTGACGTGGCTGCGATCACCCTGGCGGATCCTGGCGTCACGTGTGTTATTGCTCTTCCAGATGAGCGAGGCAGAGGTCAATGGGCAGTTCGAGTCAGTGTGTGAATCTGTCTTCAGCGAAGTTGAATCTCAGGCCATGGATGCCCTTGACCTGCCTGGGTGTTTCCGAACAAGGAGTCACAGCTACCTTCGGGCCATCCAAGCTGGTTACTCCCAAGACGATGAATGTATTCCCGTGATGACACCCGCCAACATGACCTCAACCGTCAGGCCAACAGCAGGTAAACAGAACGCCCTCTTTTCACCTACCTAGCAGAAAACCTACAGGTGTGCTTGAGCGTTTTGCGTAGAAGGGAGCTGCCATGCCCCTTCACCACAGGTAAAATTTCCTCACAGAAATTACCACGCATCACATAATAACATTCGCAGTAGCATTCTGAAGCATTTCTTTCAAAAATAGCCTTGCCTTTTTCTCAGGAGGAACTCTAGAAATTACCGAGGTTCTTTGAAGTAATCAGGAGTAAGTTTCGTTAAGGTCTCTATGACAGGCAAGCATATAAGTACCAACATTTGGGCAGTCCTTGGGTTTTAACGCCAGTATTCAAGAGGTTGGAGCGAAGCTCGGGTGGACTGAGCCACGGCCCCTGCAGTGGCTCTGCATTGCGGAGCCCGGTCTCCGTCACTGCCGCTCCGTAGCAGATCCATAAATGTGATTCATCACGACTGAAGCAGTGGTTAGTGTAAATTCCCTCATCGACTTAAGCTTGGAGGATTCAATGTCACACTTTCCCTTCAGCTCTTATGGAAAACTATATTCCCGCCCTTTGAAGATTTACCACCGAGACCAAATGCCACCACCCACTAGTTTACTGCACAATTATTATTTATATAACACAATGAATATACATGGCCCAGAGAAATCCATAAAACACAGCGAGCTGTAAAAGTTTGCCACGCTCCAGGTGAAGGCTGGGGAGAGAAGCCGTAAAACACCCCAGTGTCAAAAAACGAGCTGTCTCGGACAGCCTACGATTCAAACTGCTGTGGCCAGATCCAAAGAATTTAAAATACAACCCTAAGAAGAAACAGAACATGCTTTGTCCATATGAAATGATGTCAGGAGCCAAAAGTCAGGTAGGGGATGTGGCAAGCCATAACTTTCAGAAGAGAGGGAATCAGAGGGCCTCTCACAGCAGGCCTCTTTGGTCAGTGCTAATGTGAGCCAGGACCCATGAACCCACACACTACCAAATGACAAACTGAAGAATTTCTGTCGTGGAGTACATTCTGTACTGTTGTTTGCTCTTTAGGAGGAAATCCTTCACGCTGGTGTCTATAGGAAAATAAACTCATTCAAGTTTCTTTCCGTTGCTTATCTTGGCGAGGTCTGGCGCGCGTCCATTTCTCTGAGTCTGTTGTTGAGGTCTTCTAAAGAAATACTAACCATGAGTCACGTGTTCCAGAGAGCATGACAGGCTCTCTTCCACACCAGCGGTGGAAACTCGCTAGTTGTGGGATCTTTGCACACCGCGAGAAGATGTATTTGCTGGGATTGGTATACCAAAAAGCTGAGCGGCCAATAACTAGGCAGGAGGCATAGGCAGGATTTCCAGGGAGAGAGAGGAAGAGGAGGAGGATCTAGGCATGCAGGAGAAGCCAGGGGACAGAGAAGAAACAGGAGGTACAGGCTGGAAGAGAGGTAATGCCATGTGACAGAGTGTAGAGTAATATAAACGAGTTCATTTAAATTATAGGAGCTAGTTAGAAAAAACCTAAGCTATGGACTGAACTTTCATAATTAATAAGAAATCCCCATGTCATTATTTGGGAGCTGGATGGTGGGACAGAAAGAGACCATTAAACCCACTGTCTTCTCCTGTGCCTGGTGACCTTAACAAGACACTGACCCACAAGCCGTGGGCCTTGATGAGAGATGCCCAGTGGAACATGGCATTCTGTCCTCCTCACAGCTTTGTGAAGAACAGAGGACACAGCCCAAGTCTGTGACTTGAAACAGGCAGAGCTGCGCATGTCAACAGGAAGATACATACAGTCGTGGGGTTCTTGAAACTGGCAGTCACAATCTTGGGTTGTTCTCTCAGATGTCCAGTGCCATGTGCTCCGCTGCCTCAGAGGTATCAGAGATTGCTGTCCATCCTCAGGGGTGTCAGAGATTGCTGTCCATCCTCTGCCTGCATGTGACAATAGAGCTAATTTAAAACTTAGGGAAGGAATGAGATTCGCAGTCAGTACACTGAAAAGCAACCCTTGAAAGCTAGGCCTGAGCAGTATTATCCTGTCACCCCAACATTCAAGAGGCTGAGATGGGATTGAGAATTTCAGGCCAACCTGGGCTACCTAATGAGTCCCACACTAGCCTGAACTTCTTGGTAAGACTCTGTCTCAAAAAAGTAATTAAATCAAAAGGCAACCCCTTCGAAGGGAATTAATCATGCTCACCAGTGTTTGTTGAGTGCCCCCTACAAGCAAATGAACAATTAAACATTTTCATGGTCTTCAGAAAGGCTTTGAAACAATAATTATGTGGTAGAAAATGGCTTTGCTGTTTTTAGAGCTGTCGTTAGGGAGAGAATAGAAATAGAACAGATTTCACAGAGATAATATAAGAATCAGTACCGAACTCAGGCTGAAGTCCTGATTTATGTACACAGTAAATCGTTCTTCCCCGGCACCCTGCGCATTCCAAAACTCCACACACAAAATAAATTTTTAAATGTTTCTATTCAAAGTTTCCAATGGAAGTTGGCCTAGTTACTGAGTCAAACTCTCTTCTAGACTATGGGATAAATAGCAGCCTCGTGGCCGCAACGGTAGGTCAGATGAGCGCAATGTTGGGCGGCTAGAGGAAAGCCAAGATCACGAGTGGGTAGCACGGTCATGGTTGTGAGAAGCCAAAAGCTCAGGTCCCACCACCACGCCCACCACCACTGCACCAAATTACAGCCTATTGAATGTCAAGGATTTTTCCTTCACTCAACAGACGCCAGATGACATGCAACATGATCTGCTTAATAAGATGGTGAACAATGTCAAGGATTTTTATTAATCTGGAAAAATGGTAGAGAGGAAAATTCCCCGAGTCACAGAATTCAAATTTAGTATGATGTTACAGACCTCGCACGGCCTCTCTGTGCATCGGGTCACGTAGCCCTAACTGTTTTCCCTGAGAGCCCGGGGAGCAACGAGCGCTCTAGTTCTGCGTTCCTCAGCCCCCTCGCAGCTGTGCGAAAGCTCAAGACAACTTGAATTATCCTCTCTGCTTTTCTGGTGCTTTTAACATGTGAAAATTTGGGGTGTCCTTGAGAGCAACAGAGCCTTCTTAGCTCCTCGGTGGACTTTTAACTCGGGCGTTAGGGTGCCAGACATTCGTGTTCACACAAAACTTGGAGGGAGTCAGTAGCCTCCAGGTTCTTGCCTTTCGAATTTGAATGATGAAGTTTATAAGAGGTGGGTTTTGGGAAGCATTTCGTTGTTGGGAGCTTGAGAAAGATGACAGGAGAGATCCCCAAAGGGTCAGATGCTATTGAGGGCCACAACCTTGGAATCATGAAGGCTTTACTTGACGGAGACATGGGAGCAGAGACGAGCCAGTCTAGATCCCAGTTCAGCTATCCAATGTCTGTCAGCTTCTGCCACACCCTCCCTATGAATTCCAGAAAAGGGGTGCATTTAGAGAGAAAGATACAGAAAACGCAGGTCAGTCTGACATCCCAGGTCTCTAGCCAAGGCAGCAAAGACATTTGTCTTAAACACTTCTGCCATCTCCTGCCTGTTAGCCAGGGCAAGGATATCAAAGGGGCTAAGGACATTTGTAGCTTTTAGTCAAAGAGAACCTACATTTTCATGATCCTAAACGGCCTAGCCGCTCCTCTCCCATTCTCAACACCTCCTACCTTGTGACACACATGTAGATCTTAACCCACCCGACCCCTGGAAATCTATAAGATGGAGAAACTCCCTCTGACATAGAACTAAAGGGAACTAAAGGATCTGAGTCACCTGTCTCTCCCACCATGGCCCCATCATGACTGCCTACGGCCATGGCACTGTACCTCACCCAGTATTCTGGGACTGAAGTATGTCTTCTTCAGCATCTCCCTTGTGCTACCCATGACAGTTCTGTCTCTTATCAAGTTGCTCTTTGGACCCGAGGGCTCAATCTCTCTGCCTTCGGGGCCACATGTGACTGCTTGCGAACTTGATGTTGCCACCCTCCTAATAAAACTCACTTGTCAGGCAAACCAGATCAGCTCCCTTCTAGGACCCTGCCTTCTTTTATCAATGTTGGTACTACCCATGCTGATAGTGAAGCTGAATCCCGCCTTTGATCGGAGCTGTCTATCACAAGGCAAGTGGATTGAAGTCATTTTATTCTTAAGTACTTCTTGGTTTTGGAAACTGTTATACTAGCATTTGATGGCCACCTTCATTCACATTGGAGATTATTTTGATGAATTAACACTCTTCTATTATCCCGGGGCACTCGGGGTACAGCTCAGCAGTAGGGTGTTTATCTGGAGTATAAGAGGTTCTGGGATTTGTCTCCAGGACTGAAAGGGATTAAAGAAATGTTTTCCTTTTATGACTCAAAAAAAAATCTACTTTCAGAAACATCTCAAAGTGATTGTTTTGAGGTATAAGATGCATTTAAACATGTTCTTTACGGAGGCTTGAAAAATGAAAGCTGGCAGTATTAGATTTTCTCACCTTATAAACATGTAAATCTAGAAGCCTGGTGCTCATGCAATAAATCAAGTGTCAAATGTACAGCTGAGTGAATTCCTATAGATTTTTCAGAGCACAGTAGACAGTCTTAACTTGGAGGCTGGCAGGTGCGTGCTACCAGCCAATGTCACCTCTCTTCTCACCTGCAAGCAGGGAGCAGGAAGTCCCGCCCACCAAGCTCCACTCACCTCTCTCTGTGGTCCCCAGCAAACACAGAAACACAGCCCTGAGCAGGACGATCCTACCCACCCATCATGCTTCTCATTATGAAAAGCAGTGGGTGTTGATTATAGACCTCTCCTTAAATGAAGTGGTTTGGCAAACATCTACCTTCCATTTCACACTTGGTTTCTCTCTCATCTATGAAATGATTGATCAGATAGATTTGCTGGTCTAAATACTCATTCCACCCGGTTTTTTGAGGGGGAGAAATAACATTGGTCCTGTGGAGGGAGGCAGTATAAAATTAGATGATAATGGTTTTTCTCTGGGTCAGAAATTGTCTCCACACATGTCACAACTAATTCCAGAAGTC